TTCCAGTCTTTACTTACTTCATCTCTTACTAGTGAAATTTCGGCCATAAATTACACAATTGCATGGTGCAAGTCAGAAGAATTGAGCATAAATCCTCAAAAACACATATTATCCCTTTCACAAAAAGAAGAAACATAAAACTAACTGGTCTTCACATGGAAAGGACATAACCTGAAGTCAAATATCTATGAGTTACCATTGATTATAAACTTAACTGGAACCAACACTTAAACCATATGTAAAGCAACAAATACACTATGGATAAGTTAAAGAACCTTTTGAAATAAATGGGGACTGAGGCCAGGAATTATCCATTAGATATACACGGCTATAATACGACCCAGAATTACATATGCCTCATTAGTATGGTGTCCAAAAACTAAGGAAAAGTGTGCAATAAACAAACTAGAAAAGTTGCTACGGTATCTACAACAGGTGCGATGCGTAGCACACCTACGAAAGTCTTAGATGCGATACTAAATCTTCTTCCACTACACCAATTTGTGCAATTAGACGCCGAAACGTTGTAACCGTTTTTCCACTGTTCTTTGAGAATGCTTCAAACGCAGTGGCTTATGCGCCACTCTCGAGTTTGAGAGACCACTGGTCGTGTTTATTTAAGGTTGCCCGACTTAGCTATTGTGGCAGGAGAGCAAATCTCTAGGGTTTTCCGAACGGTTTCGAGGTGAATTCAAACGCAAAGTGAACTAAAAATGATTGCAACCGAAAACGAATGCAAAGCGGAACGTAACGCAGAAGTCACCCGGTAGACTGATTTACCACAGGGATCTTGAACGTAAATGAATGTAAAAAGGTAAGCTATGTTGAACTCATTTTATGTATATTGTCCTTCTTTTCTTAATCATTGTGTGTGAGTGTGTGTGTTGTATTGAGTGTTCATGGCCATGAATGGAACATACCTGCGCAGGGTTTTACTGATGGGCTGGCAGCTGACAGTGCGGCAAGCGGGGGGCGCACGGATACTGTGCGATGTTTTAACGGTGTAGCGATGGTTTCGTTCGTAACGAAAGGGATGCCATGCAGCAGGGATGTAGCGTCGACGGTGGATGCTCACGAAAACGAGGGCCGAACTAAAGGTGCGGGGGAGGTTGTCGGTGGATGTCGGTACTCTACCAGATCATCCGTTCAAGGTAGCCAACGTGCTCCTAGTGGCCTTCACGTACTCTGATTCCGTTACGCAACCACTATGGAACGGAATGAAACTACCCCGTCAGGAATCGCAAGGCAGGCCAACGGAGAAACCTTTCGCCCCGTTTGACTGCCAGAAACTGGCGGGCCACAGAGCAGTCACACCGGAAGTACACCACGTGTACAGAAGCCAGGTAAATGGCCAAGGGATTGCCTACGGGTTTCTAGCCCGTATAAAAAGCGACCGATGGACGCTCGCTGTCCAACGGGAATTAAGTTTTAGAAAAAGAATATAATAAAATGGAATTCAATAATTTTTACCTTTTGTAATAAATGTACAATGCACAAGGGCAGAGTTTTCGCCTTTGTGATTGTAACACGCCAAAACTATTGTTATAAAACAAAAAAAGGAAACAATTAAATTTAGTTCACTTCACCACATTTGAATTAAATTAACTAAATCACTATATAATTTAGTGCAAAGGAATTTAATTTAAACATCTGATTAATTTTAAACGCACCTTTAATTAGAAAAAAAAACTTGGAAAAATCACTTGACTAACTTCTGCTCTCTAGCCGACAATGATTGAAAGTGAACGATAAATTAATTTTAAAGACCTCTCGACCCCTCAAATTATCCGAATCATCATGTTTGACACATACCACGATTCATTGAATCATTTTGGACAAGTTGACCTATTGGCCATCTATTGATTCAACCATGAACTAAAAAAAACCTATTGCATTGGAAACGGTAATTATATTCAAATTTAAAAAATGCTATAACATTATAGCATGCGATGGATTGGATTTTTAGAATCGAAAAGGGATTTTTGAATGTTTATCTTAAATTGGGAAAAGTTCTTAACAAAAGAAATGCTTTATTTACAAAATAATATAAAAATATATTACGAACTAACGGAGAACGTTACAACGTGCGCACTAAGACTTAAGCGAACTAAAACCTTGTTTGAAGGGAACATTAAAGGGCACTTAGGGGTAAGAGGGGCGTGAACAGGTGGGGCATAGTGAGCATCCCATGCACCAGCTTGCACTTCCGGCCGTTCGGAACAAATTGGTTGGTGGTAGGATCAATATCATCATTCCAGTTGATTTGTTTCATGCAGCTAGAGATCCAGGGCCAAACTACGGAATGCTCACTATGCCCCATCTGTTCACTATTCCTCTCCTCCCCCTACATATATTAAAACAAATTCGAATCAATCCATCAGTTAACAGTCAGTAATGATTGGATGGAAACAAAATTCAGTTTTAGTCGATTGTTCAATTGTTACTACCAAACCGCTCTCTATGGAGTGCGGGAGGACCACAAATTCGCCCAGGATCAGTTGTATTATTTACTGACGGATCAAAACAAAATAATAAAGTGGGAGCTGGTGTGACAGGTCTTGGTGTTAATATGTCAGTTTGTATGGGTGGATGGCCAACCGTTTTCAGGCTGAAATTCAAGCCATACTAGAATGCACTATTGTATGTTTAAAAAGAAAATATAAACATGCAAATCTATGTATCTTTTCTGATATCCAAGCAGCTTTGAATGCTTCAAAATCATTTACATGTACTTCCAAATTACTTCAACCGTTGTCTAATAACAATACAGAAAACCTCTACTGGGTGCCAGGACACTGTGGAGTAGAAGGATATGAAAAGGCAGATGAACTAGCCAGGCAAGGATCATCTAAACAATTGCTAGGACCTGAACCATTCTGTGGGGTCTCTCCAAGCTCCATCAAGATGGAATTAAGGAACTGGAAAACGATGATGATAGATTGTAATTGGAATCATACTGTTACAGCCCGACAATCAAGAAAGTTTGTGATGCCAAATGCATCAAACACAAAAAAAAAACTCTATAGCCTCTCAAAGAAAGACTTACCTAGGACTAATAACAGGGCACTGTCCAGCCAAATATCACCTCAGACTAATTAAAAAAAAAGTCGATGATGATATTAGTTGGTTTTGTAACGAGATAACAGAAACCTCCGAACATTTTTTGTGCAACTGTGCAGCACTTCTTTACAGAATGGCCAAGTTCTTTGATAAAGGATTGCTACAGCCTTTTGAAGTATGATGTTTATCTCCTAGTAGGCATGGTAGTGCGTTTCATACGACACATAATTCTTTGCTGGGAATATACCGTTGATGGTTACTTCTAATAGTAGTTTTTCACCCTAATAATTTCAACAAAAAATCGGGAAATATACTACAATAGATCAAATAAATGGTCGCAGTGGTAATGTACCCAACAGGAAAAACAATGCGTCAGACCTGACATCTGTTATGCTGTTGGACATGTGGGAAAATACCAGCTATGCCCCAGCGATAGCAACTGGCAAGCTCTGAAGAAGATTGTTTGATACTTGAACGAGACCAAGTCATCGAGATTGTTGTTTCGCCGCGATCATGACGCATCAGTGTTGACCAGATATGCAGATGCAGATTGAGGTTCAGGTAGCAGCGTTCGAAAAACAATAATCGGATACCTTTTCAACGTCTACGGCTGTACCGTCAGATGGGCAAGCAGAAAACAACAAACTGTGGCAATGTCATCAAGCGAGGCTGAGTACGTGGTAGTAAGCGCTGCGGCATCCGAAGGAATCTGGCTAAAGGGCATCTTAGATGTACTGCAAGCTGAATAACCATTCACAATATACGATGACAACAATGGATGTATTGAAGAGGCAATCAATACTGAATGTAAACGTGCTAAGCACATTGATATAAAGCACCACTTTTTGGCGGACCATGTGATGGCTGGAACTTTTTGTGTGGAACCAATAGGAACCTATGAACAGTTAGCAAATACATTCACAAAGGCACTCGAAGCTGGACGATTCCGTGAAATGAGGTCCCTAATAGAATTGGCTGAAGTTCAAGATCGAAGTAATCAGGAGACACTATCCTAGTAACCTGTTTTTGAAGATATCAACTAGTGCAAACCTTTACTCATGCGTTATCAAACTCTCGTCCTGTACAGACTCAAAATATAGTTCTTCCTTCATTCAAACCACTGTTATATATTTAAGACAGTTATATCGACATACTCATATAAATTAAATTTTTCGTAAAAACTACATGCTGCGTCAAATAGGGGAAATGGCTCTAATGTTGGCCTATGGATCTAAGATTGGGCTAAAAATCTGCTATTTATCAATTGTATCTAGATGAACGCGTCATTGGGACGGTACTAATGGATATTTTTGGTTGCTATTGAAAATTTAGTCTATTACTGAATTTATGTAATTTGGGGGATACTTAGGCCGACATTACATACATTTTCCCTATATTGTTAATTATTTTTTTCTGTATTGCTTATAAGAAGAGCTTTATATTTTCCGAAAAAAGCATTAAGCCAAGAAGTCAAATAAAAAAAAATTGGGACTGAAAGTGTGTGTCCGTTATATAACTGGAACAGTCCTTAGGAACTGTACACAACTGTCGAAGCACCACTTCCACTCAATCAAAACTGAATTTGAGCTAAGCGGTACAGATCCACTTAAAATAGGTCGTCATATGTACGAAGGAAAGGCCGATGAAGCAATCTTTTTAACATTAAAGTGAGAGTGTTGTCTGAAATTAAAATAAGCAATTTAAAATGGTGACTTTAAATGCGCATGATACCGATTCATTAAAAAATTGCATAAATTTAGTTGCATAATTTGCAAACCGTACCTTTACTGTTCCTAAAAAGTGATCCCCTACCCACCACTTCTGTTTTCCGAAGGTCTAAATTATCTGCAGAGCTTCCACCAATGTCTGCTCTGAAAACTTATTCCAACTGTGCGCTGCGGAAAATTTCACAACAAGAAATAACCCAAGTTAGTTCTTACCTTCTCAGCACGCCTCTCCGTGCTACTGACCGTTCTCAGTCGGGATTATGACAAATGACCACTTTTTCCACGCGGCATAATCCTTCCGTTCACGGTTCCACCCTCGAGTCGAGGTTTTCCACTACACATCCTTCCTCTCCGTAAACTTCTTCGTTTTCCTCCTTTTCCGAATAAAAGAGCTCCACTCGATTACACCACGTTACAATCACGCGCACTCTCTCTCTCTCTCTCTGGTAGCTCAACGCAAAATTCCTTCACCAGCACCAGCAAGTCGCGACACGGATCTTCCAACCACCTCTTCCCACCCAGTCAGTGTGTTACTTGACCCAGGTGCTTCGTTTTTCTTTTTTTCAAAAGGTCTTCGCCAATCGACCTCAGCACTTTGCGGGGCCACTTTTATTTCGTCGATTTTTTGCACCCCCCCCACCAATTATGACGAACAACTACTGTTCTTGCTCCTCCGTAGTGCCGTGCCTTCTTCCATCCGACCGCACCACTACAGCAGTATGTACGAAATACCGTGAAAATTTTCTACCTCTCTTCTTTGCTTGCGTTTCACTCCGTTCTCACTCTTCGTTTCACTTCAAGAAAGGCAGATTTTTTCTTATTACTTTAATTTAATTAACCTCATTTTCGCATGTACGCGATTTTCTTCTCGCCTGTGTCGCGTGGTGCGAATTGCTTAAAAAAAAACTCCTTCTCGATTGTTCAAAATCCGATATCCGTCAGGATTAACCAATTAGCCAAGGAAATCCTTATCGATGCTGCTGCTGCTGCTGCTGCTGCTGCAACATAATTCAAGGGAGCGGTCCTTGACACCCTTTTTGCTCCGTCCATTTCCCGGAGCCAGGTGGGATCGATGCAAGTTCCCTGCTCATCTTGTCGAGATTCACATTTTCATCCGAAGAAACCTTTTCAACCGTAATCCGCTACCATTTTGAAGCCACTATCACAAGAAAAAGAAAAAAAATTACACTTTTGATGGAAAAACCTCTCAGCAGAAAAGGATACGCACAAATCCAGCACGGTGCGTTTGTGTCTTTCCCGTAGGACATTTCACCTCGAACTGTGCGAGCAGAATTCCATGATGGCTGACGGTGGTTTTTCCTTCGCGGTGGGAAAATCGGAGAAACTACCGTGCTGAAAAGTTCAAGCTCCGAGCGGTGGGAGGATCCTCTCTCTCTCTCTCTCGCTCGGGAAATTCATGGAGAATGGAGAGAGAACTGTCAAATGTTCGAGTGCGAAAACAAGAGAGATGCCAGGATTCTACGAGTTTGTTATTGTTATCGCATCTGAGCTTTGAAGCACCCACAACCACCCACTGACGGATGGACTGACACATTGAAGGGGGGTTATCTAGCGAGGGAAATGTTTTGACAATCGGTGCTACCAACCGATGGAAAATGAAAATGGGATATTTATAACGTTATCACATACAAATAGAAGGGAGACGTTTGGGCTGTTGCTAAAGCTTTAAAGGTACTGTTTTCTACAAGCTTTTTCCCGCAAATTTGGGTAGTGAAATACAGAGGCTGGACTTTGAATACTCACCCGATCGCAACATTTCTAAGAGATCTCCAGATGAATTCTGGTTTGGTCATGGTCTAGTAGGCTGTGATTTGAATTTCTAGGCTACTCTTATAATTTTTTTTTATAATGCGTTTATTTTTCCAGGCTCATTTGCCGTAGCTTTGCGGAGCCGATATTCATTGTTTAGATTACAAAGTTTCTTAAAACTAACGTTAGTAAAGCGGGGGCCGAATACTCGCGGCTATCTCGAGGTTAGGGGTAACAAATTTTAACAAATGGATGGCAGGGTAGGGATTGAGAACACAAGGTTTGGAGAGCAATGTGCTTTTTATCTCGAACTATGCGACCAACTGATGAAAAAGACAAACATGGGGGTACACCGATGGGCAGCTAACAACTTGGGGGAACACAAGATGACACTAACTACTAAATCCTCAGATCGATCCGTTTTAAAAACACATAAATTAAATTAAAATATTCGAGATCTCGGCTCGCCAAGATGTCTCTAACGGGCCGCAAAGGTTGTTTTCCTCGGGCCCTGAGGGATGCGGATAACTCGGATCTAACAACACAATGTAGGGTGCATGACCAAAGCACGTGGTCGATATCGTGATAGCCACAACCACAAGCGCACAAATTGCTGCCTGCGAGCCCGATTCGGAAGAAATGCGAGTCTAACGAGTAGTGATTGGACATGAGCCTTGATATGACACGTATAAAGTCACGGCTCATGTCCAATCCTTTGAACCATGGCTTGTTCGACACCTGTGGGAGAATAGAATGTAACCATCTTCCCAGATCACTCTCATTCCATTTTTGTTGCCAGTTGGTGAGGACGTGCTGACGGGTAATTGAGAAAAATTCCGCAAAGGCGATTTGTCGATCAAAAATATCGCCTTCCATAGCGCCCACCTTAGCTAGCGAGTCCGCTTTCTCATTACCCGGAATTGAGCAATGAGATGGGACCCAAACTAAGGTGATAGTATAGGAGCAGTTAGCTAAAGTACTCAATTTAGCTCGGATTCCGGTCAGGAAATACGAGGAGTGCTTCATCGGCCTCATTGATCGAATAGCCTCCAATGAGCTAAGGCTATCAGTAAAAATATAATATATTGATCAGATGGTAGTGAGGCAATTTGCTCTACTGCGTAAAATATGGCTGCTAGTTCCGCAACGTATACGGAACAGGGTTTTTGCAGTTGATATGAGGCGCTATGAAATTTCTTGAATACTCCAAATCCAGTGGAAGCGTTTATAGTTGACCCATCTGTGAAAAAAACTCTTATTGTTACTAACATGGTGGTACTTGTTTGCAAAAATTAAGGGAACAACCATCGACCGATGGTGATCTGGTATTCCACGGATTTCTTGCAACATGGTCAGATCAAAATTAATTTACAGAGGAACTATAAAAGTCTTGGAGGCAAACACGAAGCTCTTATAATTTAAATCTTAAAACAATTTGCATTATTTTTTTTTGCTTCGGACTACGTCTTTGTGGACTATACTGGGGTGCAAATAAAAAAATTCTGTGATAAAATAGTGTAGTAAAAGTAATAGTAAAATTACGTTTATTTCTGTTGATAATGATAGTACATTGATTAAATATTTTTATTGATTAGCCTACCTGGCTCTTCATCTTTGTTTTATTGGAAATTCTAATATAATATTTCAATTTAATTTTACAGAATACTGTATTCCTGTTTCCTGGGTGTTGTTTTGTTTGAATTGAAAAAGTGATAACCTACCTAGCTACAAGTATAACTTAACCTTACGTGCAAGATCACGTATGATCTGATGATCTGAGTTCAGTTAGGTGTCTCTGAAACTTTCCAGGATAAATACTCTCCGTTCTTCTTATTCCAGCCGGGAGGTGGATCACAGGATCATCATAAGGATCTTGTTCTGGATCCTTTGTAGTTTAAGATGATGGCAATTGGAACAACTCTCCCAGATTGGTATACCAAACTCAATAACAGGTAGAATTAGTTCTCTATAGACAGCAAGCTTATTTTCCAGGGATAAGGTGGACTTCCTGTTTATAAAGGATGTCCCACATCTAATTGCATCACGGAAAACGCTGTTGAAAATTACCTAGTTGACCGATCCTTTTCAAACTTTCAGACAATAAAATATAACCCATAAGCAAGCTTTTGGTACATTTATTTCATTCAACTTCAATACCATAACCGTACGCTCGCACCTTACGCTTAACTCATTAGTTTCTGTACAAAATCTGGCTGGAGCTTCTTCTGTACGGAAACCCACTTTTTCTTCATGTCTTCCTCAGATTTGACCTCCTTGGGATGCTCCCGTAGTGTCTGCTTCATAGTAGCCCAGTATTTTTCGATGGGCTTTAGTTCCGCTGCGTTGGGGGGGGGGGGATGAAGGGGTTCATGTCCTTAGGTACGAAAGTGACCCTGTTGGCATTTGAATAATGGCACAAAGCTAGATCCGACCACAAGATCGTAGGGCCCTCGTGTTGCTTCAACAGAGGAAGCAGACGCTTCTAGAGACACTCCGTTTGCCACATGAGCAGATCGCTTGCCAAATCATGTATTTCTTGGCAAACTTTGAAAGTTTCTGCTTCCTTACTTCCTTCAGAACATCAAACTTGTGCTGGACGGTGAAAAACAGTAACACCGGACGCTGCCGAAAGTCCGCCTTGACGTAAGTCTCATCATCCATGATGAGACGATGAGGCTTCGTCAGCATCTTGGTGTACAGTTTCTGGGCCCGTGACTTTCCCACCGTATTTTGCCGTTCGTCACGATTTGGAGCTTTCTGCACTGTGTACGTATGCAATCCCTCCCGGTTTTTGGCTCTCTGAACGAAAAACTTGGACAGATTCAACTTTTTGGCCACATCCCTGACCGAAGCATTGGGATTCCGCTTAAACGCTCTCACGACACGCTTGTGATCCTGATCACTAATAGAACATCCATTCTGACCGCATTTCTCCTTCCGTTCGATGCTCAGAGTTTCGTAGTAACGTTTAAACACACAACTCACCGTTTACTGCATGTTGTTTTCCGATGTCCCGATGAGAGAGTTGAGGTTTATCCAGGTGCTTGCGCAAAATCAATTCACGACGTTGCTTTTCGGGTGACGCCATTTATTCCAACTTTCGAAAAACTGACAGCGATAAAAATACATTGTAAACAATACACACTAAACTACTTCTACCCAAATTTTCAAGAGAAAATACCCTATGAGTAATTTTCTACAACGTTTTTTTTTTTTTGTTATGCAATTTGATGTGGGACGCTCTTCTAGGGAATACAGTGATCTTATCAAGATGTTGAACTTGGTGTTAGTTTTTGTTGAGTGTAGGAAAGTCCTAACCCTGTCGTGTCGATCAACCTGGCCGAACCCACTCAGCAATCGAGCACAGCGTTGCCAGATATACCGATTTCCAAACTAGATATCGATAAACAGATAAGGTTCCTCAGAATACCGATTTTTAAGATTTTAGACCGATTTATACCGTTTTTTTTTTTATAATCAAAATAATTATTGCCTGTTTGCGCTCGGAGAAATTTTTTGTGAGAGACTTGTATCTTTTTGAATACCTCATATTTTTTGAGCCTTCAAAACTCTAAACAATCATCTCTAAAGATGCCGTATGCTTGAAACTCTTTCGACTAATGTTTGCATTTCCTCACTGTTTTTGGCTGCACACTAGCTATAAGCACATTTAAGAAGTTCTGAAACTTCAGAAAAGTCCAGACTGTTGTGTAAATTTCGATAAATTAAAAACAGTTTCACTTCTGTTAAAATTCGAAAACCCGGGAATTTCAGAAAATTCCAGCGAACTTCAGTGAACTTAAGGAAGCATCATGAATATTTTGGAAACTTCACAGGTCCAAAGAACTTCAGGAAAACTCAATGGTTTTTAGGAACTTTAGTGAAGCTCAGACAACATCATGACAGATCAATAAATTAATTAAATTGCTAAAATTATAATGGAGTTCCGAGAAACTCAGGCAATTTCCGAAAACTTCAGCAATGTCCTGAGGGGCTCATGCAAATCCAGGAAACGTAATGTAGTTACGTGGACATTAGAACATTTTTTTTAACTAGTTCGTTTATTTACTAGGCTCAGTCGTGTGTGACACTTTGTGGAGCCAAAATCAGTAATGTTTGATTTACATTTTAAATAGCAGTATTTCTAGGTTAGTATTGGGTACCAATTACTCGTGGCGGGCTCGAGGGTAATGGGTAACAATTTTTAACAATCGGAAGGATCTAGGTAGGAAACTGGTTTCTGAAGCCTCCTTCAGATACTACTCTCGGACAGTTGACCAAATAATGGCTGGGCAGGGGCAAGTAGCACAGGAACAGGAGGATAATAATACTGGGACACAATGGCGGTAAATTGTTTGGAAAGGAGGGGAAAGTCACATCAAACTCTAACATTTTTTTTAAACTTTTTAAAGAGATTTTTAGCATTAGGCTAGTTCATCTCTAACAAACTCTAACATCAGACAAACAAAGGAATTCGTAGATCGCTTGC